CCCCCCCCCCCCCCCCCATGCTCCAGCCCGAAAATCTCGGGCAGCCGCAAAGGATCTTGGGGCAGGCGCATGCGCAGTTCAGATTTTCGGCCGGGAGACGCAAGATAAGTCTATGGACAGCATGCACCCGCATGCAGACACCGTGGGACAGGAAGTGCCAGCAAGCACAGAGGAGTCAGTGCTGGATCGGAGACCCGCTGGAGAGAAGACAGGAAAGAAGATCGGATTAAGAGACATCATTTCAGGTAAGTGATGACACTAACATTGTGGGAGGGAAAAAAATTTATCCCATCTTCAGTGTTCTGGCTGAGAGAAGGAGGTTCTCATCCCAGATTTTACAATACATGACCCCGTCCATTAGCCCCTCCAATGTGGCAAAATTGGCTTGTGCATTTTAACAGAGAAACAGCCCCAAAGCATAATGTTTCCACCTCCATGCTTCACTGTAGGGATGGTGTTCTTAGGGTCATAGTCAGCATTTTGCTTCCTCTAAACAATTTTGGTCTCATCTGACTGCAGCACTTTCTCCCAATTATTCTTCTCTGAATCATTTAGATGTTCATTGTCAAACTTCAGACGGGCCTGTACATGTGCCTTCCTGAGGAGGGGGACCTTGCGGGCATTGCAGGATCTCAATCCATGGCGGTGTATTGTGATACCAATGGTTTGTTTGGTGACTGTAATCCCAACTGCCTTGAGATCATTCTCAAGCTCCTCCTGTGTAGTTCGGGGCTGATCCCTCACTTTTCTCATGCTCATCCTTACCCCATGAGGCGAAATCTTGCATGGAGCTCCAGACCTGAGGGTGATTGATGGGTATTTTGTATTCTTTCCATTTGCGAATAATCGCTCCAACAGTTTCCTTCTCACCAATCTTGTAGCCCTTTCCAGCCTTGTGCAGGTCTACAATCTTGTCCCTAACGTCTTTTGACAGCTCTATGGTCTTGCCCATGGTGGTGAGGTTTTAGTGGAAGAAAGATTCTGTGGACAGGTGTTTTTTAAACATAACGAGTTGTCGTTAGGAGCACCTTCCTAAATTGACAGGACTAATCAGTGTACCACATAGCCAGTCTGTGGGAGCCAGAATTATTGTTGATTGGTAGGGGATCAAATACTTATTTTACTCACTGAACTGCAACTCAATTTATAGCATTTGTATCATGTGTTTTTTTTCTGGATTTTTGGTTGATATTCTGGACAAACTTACAAAATCTGGAGGGGATCAAATTTCCTCACTGCATACCCTAGGTCTGTGATGGTGAACAGAGGGCACACAGAGGCCCCTCTGGTGGCACGTGAGCCTATGTACCTGTTGCGGGGACTCACACACTCCGGGTTCTCACCTGGGGTGCTCAGTGTGGGTCTCTGAGTCTCATTAACTTTTTTTAAATGTCCGCTGCGACCATCTTTAAACCTGGAAGGTGCCCAAATCCTTTTTTAATATATTGCCGAACCGGTAACATATTAGATAAAAATCATCCCATGGTGGTCCAGTGGAGAATCGGAATGATCTGCATCTCTTGCTGATGCAGATCATACTGATAGCTTCCTCGTGGTGCCTCTGCTCACAGGCAGGAGCGATTTAATATGGTCTGAATCAGCCAGAGATGCAGATCACACTGATCCTCCACTGGACCATCAGGATAATCCCCAAGTGCCCCACTGGAGGATTGCAGCCCCCTCCTTGCAAAATAAATGTTTATTGTTCATGGTGTGTGATTTTAGTAGTGCGTTTTTTTTTTTTTAATAATGAAGATAAGTTATTGATTTGTATGTTTTTGTTTTGTTGTGTGTGTGACGTTAGCCATCAATGCCCTTAGTTCTACCTCTACATTTTTTTTTTCCCCCTGAATCTCATTCCAGAGCATGGATGATTTTAGATCAGTACAGAAAGAAATCAAAGCTCTTCCGCACTAACGTACTTTTGGTTCCACTGGGTGATGATTTTCGCTTCAGTGACAGTTCAGAATGGGATCAGCAATACCAGAACTATCAAAAACTGTTTGATTACATGAACTCTCATACTGAGCTCCATGTTAAGGTAAGTTGTGTCATTTTATTTTTAGACCTGGCTTTCCTAGAAGGTTCATTGCAATTTTTTCACTGTAGTTGTGTCAATGCTTGGTTAGAAATCGAGCAAGAGTATATTTTTCCTGCTCCAATGAATGCAGCATTTTCAGTAATTTTTTTTTGTCAATAAATTAGTCTTTAGCAGCAATTTTTTTTGGCATCATTTGGATCCTAGAGCATGACCTTGCTTGCTTTTTAAATCTGTAATTTGTTAAAAATAAACTTGTGCAAGCAATCAAGCCAAAGTAAGAATGCTTTTAGCAAGTTGATGCAGCTACTAACTTTAAGAAAGGCATTATTTGCTTAGGTGTACAGTCAACCTACCTACCCCCATCTCATCCTTTTCCCACATCACTGTGTCTGAGCCTGGAAATTGGCTAATCGAGCACTGAACGCCACACTGTATTATTGTAGGCAGGATGAATTGTGTGATATCGGTACCTTTCCAAATACCAATAAGTGCTCCACTGGTAGTGCTGGAAAAGTTGGAAATGTATATTTGCAAGCTGTCACTCCAGAAGCCATCTTTTATTTTAGACAATAAAATTACTGCCCAGAATAAGTCAGATGGAAAATATACTGATATTAGTAAAACCCTGATAGAACCACATCCTTTTAGATCTGCACTGATTTAGGACTTTCACTTCAAGCCTCTTTTTTGGGGATTAGTCTATTTTAGCATTTCCTTTATATTTCATCCTGGTTTTACACAAATGTTTTTTTTTCCAGGCACAGTTTGCTACACTGTCTGATTATTTTGAAGCTCTCCGGAAGGTTACCAGCATTGATGAAACCAGTGGACCCTCATTTTTTCCAGTATTAAGTGGGGATTTCTTCACTTATGCGGATAGAGATGATCACTACTGGAGTGGATACTTTACCTCCCGGCCCTTCTACAAACGTCTTGAGAGAGTCATGGAATCCTACCTGAGGCAAGTTGTAATCTTCTAGATCTTGTGTTTTTTGCATACATGAAAGCACTTCTGTGTCTTCTTTCATTGAAGTCATTAGCCAGGCATACAGAGGTCCTCACACCTTGCTGATGGTCACGTAGTGCACGCCAATGGGGGGTTCTGCAGACCTAAGGCAGCTGGAATGTGGGAGATTTCCTTGTTAAATCTCTTCAAAGTTTGCATGTGTTCTAGTTTCCTCAAATGGTGAAAGTATTCATCAGTGCCTCATCCTATTCTATAACACCCCTCTTAGCAAGGTGTGCAGGTCAGTGTGCTTTGTTAGGGCTTGTGTGTACTGGTTTTTATCCCTATCAGACCTGATTCTACCCTCCCACCAATACAAGTCAGTAGGAATGTAAAAGCTTCAAGCAGGTTGATGCAGTTTGGAAATATCCGAACCTCAGATTAAAAAAAACAATGTTTTATTTATGAAAACAGGTAGGGATCTGTAATTAAGGAGATTCCCTACTAATCCTCATAAATGAACTGATTACCTGAGTTCTTTGTGTGTGCTATTTGAAGACAAAATAAAAACAATAATGTGCAAAAATATATATATTGGCTATCAAATTTTGGCCGAACGCACTGGATCGCATTGCAGCCGGCTCAGTTTTTTGTGGGACGTGAGGTGTGTCCGGCTGCAATGTGATCGACCGCACGAGAACGCAAGGCTTATGAGCGGCATTTTTCTGACCGGACCGAGGGCATTGATGTGCCTTGTGTTCCCGTGCGACTGATCGCATTTCGGCTGGAGGGCGTGCCTGCGGTGCCGTTCACTTAAATGCACCGCCACGCTTCCTCCCGCCCCACAACAAACTGAGCTAGCCGCAATGCAATCTTGTGCGTTCCGGGCACAATCGAGCAGGAAAGCACTGAAGATGGTATGAACGAGGCCTAAAGCTGGCATTAGTTGCAACCTCTTTTTTTGTGGCAAAGGCAGCTGAAACCTGGCAGCTCTTTATTTCCTAATATTTGCTACATCATGAATCAATACTGAATTGTTACTTATGGTGCTGTTATCTGCCTTTTGCCACCTTTTATAAATAAGGTGTTTTTTAATACATCAAAATAAAATAAAAAGAAGCTTTAATATTTGCTTTTATTAAAGCAAGTTTGAGAGGATTGAAATATTGGTGCTATCATTGTGGCTCCTGACTTCACTGATCTTGAACATGCATGCAGAATGGGAGTTCACACTTCTCAGATATCAATGACTGCATGCTTGTTCCAATGCAGTGACTAATTCGGTTACAAAAGAAAGATCAGGATGACTGCTTCCTACAGGTTCACCTTGAGTACTGTATTTACAAATGTATGGTGTGTGTGTGTGCTTATTATTTGTAGACTTTAAATGTGTGCATACACTGAATTGATCGCTGTAAAGCATTAGGTAACAAGGAGAGTGAAAACTTTGAAATAAACAGTAGATGTGCAGCAGTGCATTCGCCATGAATAAATCCATAACGGAATGAACCTTGCATAAAGCTTTAAATTAGTTGAAAGGTACTGTGATTGATTAGTCCAACTTTTAAAGATGTATTATCCTCCATCTGTTTCTGCTACTGTGCAACTCTGTGACCTGTAATGATGGAATCTTGACACTTAACATGAAAGTAACAATTCTGCTTAGTTTTATGGATGCATAGATCATCCTTAATCTAACTGTTTGGGGCTTTTATAATGACTTACATTTTTCCGACATTGTTCTCTGTAATTGAGGATACAATAAGCTTGCTGCACTAAAACGTACTTATTACTTGTTTGTTTTTAATGTTACATTCAATTAGGGAATCCTGTAAGTGCAATTGAACAGGCATAGTTGTGGTTTTAGTTTCATTGTAATTTTGATTGAAATAATTCCCTCCCGCAAATAAGGAGAAATTATTGTATTCCCCATTTGCCTTTATGAATAATGCACTGCAAGAACAAAGCTCATAAATGCCTTCTTAGGCAGACTAATATGTCTTGTCACAACTGTCACAGCCTTGGATAATTCTCAAGGACATGAGATTAGTATTCAAAAAGGGAGAACTGTATGGTAAGGTTTTATTAAAGAATGTTACCGTCAATTGTTCTTTGTTACTTAACTGTTTATGCACACAAATACGCAGGGCTTGAAAAATTTGATGGTGTCTCACCAGTCAGCATGACCGGACTATAGCCTTGCAATTTGTTAACATTTTTTGGGGACAGATGGAGCTTTCTTTTTGAGGTATATAATCACCACTGGGGGGGATGTTATTTTTTTTAACTATATAATGAAAAAAAGTACCATAAATGTAAAAAAAAAACTTTTCCCTACGTTATGTTATAAAACATTTATTCTTACCCATATTTTTAGTACTATCCTTGTCGCAATCCTTACCGATATGTCCCTTGTAGTGGGGGGTGCTCGCAGTGACTGCGGATGGCGCCACGTATGTCAGCAAAATTGTAGAAATGTCACCAGCACACCAGTCCTTTTAAGATAGCAAAAGCTTAATTTATTGAAGTTTTTTGTCATATGACCAAACAAGCGCTTTCGGGACCGCACAGGGTCCCTTCATCAGGCTTTAGCCACCAGACACCAAACATGTCAAGCCTTAAAATTGCGTGCACCCGCAAAATCGCAAAAAACGCACATAGGCGACGATTAAAACGCTTTTACTGCTCATCAGTTTAGTATTATCAGTGATTAATGGCTCTAAAATTATTGCTCTCCAAAGTTTGCGGCGATATTTAATTTTTTGTGCGGCACAATAGGCGCAATCGTCGTTTTCGCACGTAGGCGCACCCAGCTCATATCTGCGTGTGTATGTGGGGGGCTTAAAAAAAAAATTTCTTTTTAAAAAAGAAAATGTTACATGGGGGGCTAAGAAGCCCCCTATGTAATAGCCAATTTACATGACAGGTCCTCTTTATGGAGACATCGGGGGTCTCCAAGATCCCTAATGTCACCTAGGGACCCCCAGAGAAGATGATGAAGCGGAGATCAGCTTCATCAGCTTCTGTAGCTGGAGAGTGAGAGTAAATGCAGGAAGTGATGTAATCTACATCACTTCCTGAATTCGGGGACTGTAACCTGAATTACTATTTAAAGTTATGATGTGCTATATAAGCATTCACACCTACAGGTATGAGATTCTAAGGATTCAGTCCTGAGATTTTCAAGCTCAACACAATAACAGGATTTATTGGTATATAGTATACAGACTTGAATACAATGAACCAACAATCTATTTAACTACAAACCTAAAGAAGAGATCTAAGCATACATCAAAATATCACTAAAAGCACAAACCATGGTACAAACACACAATACAAACATATATAAGTGCACAGGTTTTATCCGGATAATTACCAGCAGATGTTCAAACAGGGCCCTCTGGTCATCAATTACAGGAAAGAGAAAGATCTAACTTTTTCCAGTCCTTAATATACCCCTGGTGTCCATAGGGATACATGACAAGTCTCCCATTGGTTGCCTCCCAAGGCCTAATGGAGATTGGAGGGTTTCCAAGACCCTCTTTACAACTCCCCACCCCTCACTTCCGATTGGATTATTAGATCAAAGGGTCTTGGCTCCTGATAAACCTGATACTGAAGTTGAACATCTATGGTAATTATCTGGACATGCCTGGGCTGACCAATGCCCCTATTTGCAATTCCTTGGGCCTGACACTCCCCTCCACCGTGATAAACACATCAAAAGACTGTATTTCCCAACAAGCTACCCTCCCCTCAGGTGCTCAGTTAAAACGACATATAAAACTATATACATATTACCTATACTTTGTGACATAACTCTGTATGGTAACAGGGACTGAGCGGAGATCAAAGGAAGTTTGTTTACTGAACTTCCTTTTGATCTCCTGTCACAGATCCGTGCCGGTCCCGGCCGCATCGGGCACAGCGTATCTCGGGACCGGCAATGGCAGTGACAGCTGCTAATACAAGCGATCGAGCGTCTCTAGCGACGCCCGATCGCTTGACTGTAAAGCTCCTGGCTGGCCGTGTAATTACAACGGCCGGCCGGGAAGCTGCTCGTCGGGCTCCTGTGGTCTGAACGAAAAAAATAGACCCGATTCCTCCAACACAAATAGCGTGTCAATCGAGAAATCCCGCTGTTTACATACAACTGCTGCTGGCACCTGTCAGATTACCCGACCAGAGTGGGCAGCTCATTTGGCTGCCAGCTCTAATCATGCAAAAATTTTCCGGCGGGATCAGCTGATCGAGGGATCCTGGCCGAAAGTCTGCTGACAGCACCACACATTGTGCAAATTTAGTCCAGTTCCTCAAAAACTGGCCAAAATTCGCAGTGTATGGGCACCTTTTATAAATTATCGATCGGTTAAAACCGAACGTTATTTATTTCATTATTTTGGATGCAGTAAAGAAGAGTTAAGGTGATTGTAGCCATATTAGAGTACTTGCAACAACACAATTGAGTACTGTTCATGATGCCTTTTTTTTTTTATTTGCACCAACAGTTGAATTTACAATTGCTTGGACCTTAGAGAGTAGTCACCTAAAAGATTTTCCTGCAAATCTAACTTAGTGCAGATAAAGAAAAAAAGTATTACGAAAAGTACTCTTCCCTCACTTCTTACATTGTGAAACCTTTACAAGAAATGGATAATGTAAAAACACTCAAGTCAAGAGTTGTAACCCTTCCTCGCTCTACTGAAAATGTGCTTTTGTTTTTGTCTGCATTTCTGTTGGAGAGATTTCCCATAATTTACTGTCCTGAGGCCCTAATACTTTTCTCCTCTATTCAACAAAAAAAAGTTTTGGCTGGAACTGGACTATAAAATGTAAATCTACTTTTGCTAAGAAATGAAACCTCTCCTCTGGTAATTTTACTTACATTGCAAGCATTTTACTAAACTGAACCGAGGAGTCTAACCCACTGCCATTTGTATAGCCAACTACAAGACCAGGAAATACCATGTCTTTAATTATTCACTCTAAATGACAAAAAGGTCATATTTATAAGA